GTGGGTGGGGGGCGGCAGCGGGCCCCGGGCGCCCCCCTTCGCCGGTGGGAACGGGCCCGGCCCGAGGGGCGCTCCGGCCGCTTTCTGCCGCCAGCCCGGGCTCCTCCGCCTGGGAGCCTGTGGGGCTGCCGGGCTTCGTCACTCCTTCGGGTGTCCTTTCCCCACCCCCTGCGCCTCTGAGACGAGCTGCCCTCGCCCTTTTGCCCCTTCGGGGCCCCCGGCCGGGGGCTACCGGCCTCTCCGCAGGAGGTGTTGGTCTCCCGCCGCACAGCAGCCGAGTCGGCTTCCAGAAAAGGCCCTTTCGGCTCCCTCCGTAGATCCCCTGGGAGACCTGTTGATACCTCTCTCCATCTCGCTTACCTTTCTGCATTGCCTGCTATTTCATTTTTAAATGCTCGCAGCATGCTCGGTTCTGTAGGTGTCGTGCAAATGAAGGACGTTCCTTCTTCCCAAGGAGGTAGTAGCTTCGCATTGGTGGGAGACCTAGAAGAGAAAACAATGTAAATCTCGTTTTTCTACCATATTTTAGACTCACTGCAGTTACCCTGATGGGCTTCCTGCTCATGTTCTCAGTCTTCCCATCCAAAACGCATGATTCACAGAACTGAGTTGCAGCTTCTTTCCACCTTTGCTGTACGGCCGTTACTCTAACTATTCTGTAATCTTCATTAATCAGACTTGTTATTCGTGTTCCTGTTCTTTTTTTCTTTTAACGTGGTGGTGTTTTTTTCTAGTTATGCTAGGAACCTCTTGCTCTAAGTGTCTTGGTAGTGCGTGATTGTATTCTGTAATGAACGTAGTGAAAATTCTTGCTTTTGGCTCTCCCTTGCCCCTTAATGAAAAGGTAGGAGGGGGAAAAAAAAAGACTTCTTGTGGAAGACTTGACCCTGTCTATGCAAGATGGTGACAGTGATGGCAGTCTTGTAGACCAGGGGTTTCCATCCTTGATGCCACTGTTCTGTTTCTCCACTCTGAGAGCAAGAGTCAATGTGGTGCTGCAAATGCTTTTGGCCACCTGATCCCTCTTCTGCAGTGGTTGTACTTATGCCATTGCTGGTACCCTTGGAGCTGGACCTGTGTTTTGCACCAACTGGGTATTCTAGGAAAACATGGGATTACAATAGAAAAGGAAGCAAGAATGCATTGCAGAGTGAATGACAGGAAACTATTTTTAATGTTTCCGGTACTGTGCTAATTAGACTAACCAAGTGGAAAATATTTGCTATTCTGGGAGTTCCCTGATAGAAATGTGCAGTCTTGTTTCCATTTTTCAGAAAGGTAAAGATCTCTCTAATATCATTCTCCATTCTTAAGCTCTTATCAGCTTGGATGTTTTGATGAGACTTTGCTACGTTGAATATATCTCTTTGGATTTTGCCCACTTTCAAATGCCAGATAATTCCTTTATTGGTGGTTCTACTGCTGTTAGCTTTGCTGCTATTCCTTGCTTACGGCAACACTGGTAAATTTAGGATTTGTTATTTTTGTGGCCTTGATCATATTGTTGCTTTTAATGGTAAGGAAGCCACCAGTGCACCATCCAAAACGAGGTCGGTGTTGGAGTTCTGCCTGGATCTGCTGTTGTAGCTGTAGTCCTTTCTGTGCCATGGCCGTGAGCAGTGCTGTAGAGATTGGGCTGCTGTACTGCAGGACCTTTCCAAACCAGCTCACGCTTGTTTTCTCACTAGTGTAACGTGTCCAGTGCGTGGTCTCCATTTTGGAGTGCACATCTGGGTGAAGTTGATTGCATTTCTGAATTCCCATTTTAGCTGGAGTTTATGTTCTTAGCTCTGTTTTTCTGATAACTTTTTTTAACAATATGACTGGAAAAGTGGATACTACTTCTCATTTTTGTCATTGCAGAGATTTTTCTTGTCTATTTGTCTGTTCTCTCCGAGACTTTCAGATGTCTACAGAGCTTAGCATTCCAGGAAAAACTGTCATCTTTACAGCTGTGATATGCAAAGCATGATAGATAAATAATGGAATCTGTGTGTATGTTGCCTTATAAGTGTTGGCTTTTAATTACATGAAGTTAATGTCCCCAAAGGCATCCTGTTCACTGGCTAGATTTTTACGAACATTTTTTTAATCCCTTAAAATGAACAAAAGTGACTGAGTTTACTTAGACAGCAGACCTCTACTGTGCTTCCTGATGTGGTCAATTTAGAACTCTTCAGGTCAAACATGAAGTCTTGTGCTGAGAAACAACTGGATGCTTTCCAAACATTTCTGAAAAACATCTTGGAAACAAAATTTAATATTTTGCTTAGAATTTAGCTGTTCAAGGTGATAATCTGCTACTACCTACTTGAATAGTACTTGAATTCCAAGGCTATTGTCATGGCTGAAAACATGCAGTACCAATGTCTGCTTATTGAACGGGCAGAGTTTGCGTAACTACTAAATGCAGCACAGCTTAGCACAGAAAACTCCTCTCCCCTCTGCAACCCTGAAGAAGTCTTAAGTTGTGCTAGAAACTGCTTAGCATGTCAATGGGCTGTAAAGCTTTGGAAATAATTTCCAAGCTATATAACTGTGAGAAGAGGATGCCTATCTTTTAAGAGCTCTTTGGCTTGAATATGAAGTGACACTTGGACAATGCACAGGATTTTCTAGATAGAAGATGGTCTTGTCTGAATCTGCTTTTATTTTCTTGCTCTCCTGTCTGAGGATGCTTTGCTGCACAGCTGTGACTGGTATGGTAGTTTGGAAATTCCCTGTTCACCTTGGATTTGCAAATTAATACATATTTTAAATGATTGACTAGGACTTGGAGGTTTATCTGGTCTGCAAGCGTGCTTAAATAAACTTTGAAACACTTCAAGCTTCCCTCCTGTCCATGTTTGTAGCCCCGAGAACAGACATTGCAATCAAAGTATCTCAACTGCTTTTCACATTTGAGGCAGCAGCTTCTTTGGACTTCTGCTGACAGGTTCCATGTGAAAATTTTTAACTGCCATAGGGGCGGAACTAAGGCTGTATTTGGATTGTATTTGTGGTTGTACAATGGTGTCCTGCTCTGAAGTTTTCTGGGACGAAACAGTTTTTGTTGGATAGATGCCCCCAGAGTTTTTTGCTTCGGACCACTCTTCTGGTGTGGTTTTAGCATTTGTCATGTGCTGTGCTAATGCTGTGTAGATGTATTGAACTGCTGCTAGAACAAACTAAATTACTACTCTGTAAAGAGATTGATGTTCCTGTCCAAAATTTGCTTCCTAAAAGGTGCGCAAGAAATAATCTTTTTTAGGGAGTTTGAGACAGTTGTAGTTTAGACATACGTTCTCGTAGGAAATGTTACTGCACAGGGGTGGCTGGTTCCCTGCTGCCTTCCTTTCCTCTTCCTGCTCTTTTAGGAAAGTGTGTGCAAGGATCCAGCCTTCAGCATTTGTCTGTTGAAGGCATGAATCCAGCTTGTACCTTTTGGGTTACAAAATGATAATTATTACATAACAGGGATACTGCCAGCTGACTTCTTGCTTTCACTGTGACTCTGCTCAGCAGCAATTGTTTGAGCCAGTATGTAATTTTTAAAACGTGGCTGTGACATAGCCAAAAATCACTTGTGTCCCCTCTTAGCCTTTCACAAGATTATTTCTGGCAACTTGCTCCTGTTTGAGAAGTCAAACACATTGATATCACCACCCCCATACCTTTGTTTTGTAGGCACGCTGAGTTACATACCTGTCAAACAGTATTTTTCACCTGAAGGCTGCACAACTTGGATTGATTTATCTAAATGTCACTTGTGACTTGGTAAAGGAAGAGCTGCTTCTGAGAGCAAGAGGAAAAGGAGACTTTGGGTATAGTCTGAAAGATTTTAATACCCTCCTCCTGTCTTGTAGTTTTTGTACCATGCTGTCTGTGGTGCACAGAAAAGTGTACAGTCCTGGAGCTTTTCAAGGTAAAAGTGAGTAATCGCTTCAGGCAGATGCTGTGGCTGAGGTTATCTGTAGCGTGGAATGCAGCCAGAGAGAAATAAGTTGTTCCTATTCTAATAATCATACTAAGAGAAATAATTTTTAAATACTTTCTCATGAGCTTAAAAGTACCTATTGACTTTTAAAGTATATCGTTGGGACCTACTGATAGAAGAAAATAGTATCTCTGTAGAGATTTTGTGTATAATATTCAATATAGTAATTGGAAACTCTGGTGTGTACTGTTCATAAAGACTGTGTAGGCTTCCTGTGAAGAGAACTCGCACATTTTTCACACCCTGAGTTTGTCAAGTTTGTGTTGGAAGAAGTAGCATATGGTACATGTAACTTCATGTGATGTTTGAATTTTTTTTAGATTAAATTGGCGCTTGCCTTTCCTGCTGGGAATAGCATTACAGGGCGCTATTTCTTTAGCTCTGGAAGATGTCGTTTAGTTTTGGAGAAGCTAATTCTGTTTGTCTTTGGTTGCTGATGAATACTGGAGAAATACTAGATCGCAGCGCCTTGAGTTCATAAGTTCAGATCTTGTTTGGATCAGTAATAACAAAACTACTGCAAAATGGCTGTTTGCTGCTTATGGGAAACTGCTTTGGAACTTGAGCAAGACTGCCAGATGGGAAGGAACTGCAGCCCTGATACCAGCCCCACTAACCTCCAAACACAAACCCTGACAAGCGTGCACAACACCACTTGTGATAAGTGGGGAGGAAAGGCTGAGGAGATCTTAAAAAGTAATTATTTTTCCCATCCCACCCGTCTTTTTCAGATAACAGAAGGCTTTTAATCTGATCTGAAGAAAATTGGCTGAGTAGTGTTCGTGGTGAAACCTGCGTACCAGCCCTATTCTTTTGCTGGACAGCTCTTGCTTGTAGCTCAGCTACTGGCGACAGCAGCACAAGTAATTAAGACAGCTGCTTTAATGGTGTACACGGTTTGTACACCTCTGTCGGTTTGATTTGCGTTTCACTGGAGTAGTGCCATCTTTCAAGTCTGCACAAATATTGTCAGTCCCAAGCTCTTGACCTTGGTGTTGAGGGAAAAAAAGAAGACGGTACCCTTAAGCATGTGGCTGGTTTTGACCAAGTACGGGTATATGAGCGAAATGCAGAAGTAGGTTGCCTTCAGATGTGTCTGTATCAATTTTTCCATCTCATTTGCATTGCATTCATTCTTGTGTGATACCTTGCAATCCTAATTAGTGGCAGTAAAGAGGTGGCTGATGAGCAAAGGCTCAAACAAAACACTGCAGCAAAAAGCAGTGGATTGCGTTCATCTTGGTTCTTAGGGGAACACTGATATCCCTTCAAGGAAAATTCTGTGTACCAAACGTACTTAATCAACAGCAGTCTTGTACTGACAACCTCAGACACTGATGTGGTTTCTAGTCCTGTTTTTGGTTTGACGTGTCTCAAAAGGAGCTAGTTTCAATGGGTTTATCCGTAATGCCATTAAAGTGGGTCGGGCATTCCAGCTTCTTCCCACCTCCCCTGCCCCTCCTTGGGCAGAGCTAATCGCAAAATGGAATACTCTGGTAAACCAGCTGGGGGGTGGGTTTTATTTTTACCTTTACTTAATGTGTTACTGTTTGGTGGTAGTTTGCAATAATTCATGCTCAGCTGTGCACCGGGCTAAAACTTGGTAACCAGTGGAAGTACTCGCTGTCATTTCAGTGTGTGGTGGCTGAGGTTTGTAGATGGTTGCGTGTGGTAACTAGTGAGCAACATCCTTAGATTAGTTCATGACTTCAGTGCTAAGTTTGTTGAGATTTTTTTTAGGTCTCCTTAGTAATAGCTGAAACAACTAAAACTTTGCCTGCATGTTTATCTTTCTCTACTTATGACTCCAGTAAAACAAAATTGAACTTTCCCTTTTGACAGTAAGAGCTAATGAGTTTTGCATTTTTAAAGCGTCTCTCTAAATTTAGATTATTTTCTTGTCTTGCAGGCTGCTATATGGCAAGCACTTAACCACTATGCTTACCGCGATGCGGTGTTCCTTGCCGAAAGACTATATGCAGAAGGTATGTATTTTACAAATAAAGTTGATGCTTATTTTAATTTAGGATTTTTGAGCTTCTGGTCCTGCTTTGTTTTACTCCTGTTGTTATGCTAATGAAGTTTAAACTTTCTGCTTGGGGAAAGCAGAAAAATGCCTTGCAATTAGGTTGGAAAATCAAATCAGGTAATAGCAGCAATAGTATTTTACAGTAAAACCTCCTTAAAATTAAACAGTAGTGTGTTTAAGTACAGTGTTTACAGTGATCTGTGGTATGGTGTCAAATGGGGAGGTGTTTTTAATAACCTTAAGCATTGCATTGTCTTCCAAGGGCACTTGCGTAGAGATGCAGTACACAAATTCTACAAACTGTCTTGATTGGGAAAACTGTCTTTGCTAGTAATGCTGGTCAGATATGTTGATTGGTGTGTTAGCTGAAAGAGATAATCTTGTGATGATGAGAGAAAAGCACAGTGAAATTGAGACAGTGAGAATCAGAACACATGGAATGGGTATCTCCTGTTGAATTCCTGTTGTTACTTCGTTGTAATGCTGTGAGATCTAAGATGTCTTAGATACTGAGCAGGCAGCAGTAACACAGATCTGTACTTTTTCTGGGTCCTTCAAAGAGTACTTTTTTCATGTGTTCTAGTCCTTCTTCCTTAACCTTTCCTCCGTGACCTCAAATAAGCTTTTTGTTCTTCTCTACTTCTTTCTCCTTGATACCAGTGTTCAGCCTTTCTGTATTTTGAAAGGTATCGTCCCCTAATCACTAAAATGAAAAAAAACAAAAAACAAACCAACAAACCAAACCAAAACCCCAAAACAACCCAACCCTCAAGCTAAAGTGTAAGCGTAATATAAATTCTCATGCTAAACAACTTGAGTTTATAATGTGAATTAAACTGTATAACCTGTTTCACGCTCCATGTTTTGCAATGAAACGTTTTTCTTTCAGTGTCTCGCCTGACACAATGCACATAACAATGGAAGCACAAACCTCATTTTTTGAGAAATAATTACTTTTTTTTCCTCATGTCAAGGTTACCTGTGAAACCTAGGGTCTTCCATCTGGTGTTTAAATGAGAAGTATTATGTAGAATATTATGGAACCTTACAGTCTAGGTGTACTGAAAGGAAATGGTGTTTGGGATGACATACCTCCCCTGAACGTGGCACACTGAGATGCAGGGAAATGGTAGACTGAAGGTAATTGCCAAGGGTGTAGAAATGAAGAGATTCCGCTTTTTGCAGCAGCCAAGAGAAAAATATGACTTGGTACTGATGCTGTCTTTGCAGAATAATACTCTGCAAGAGTACTTCAAACAGCTTTTTTTTCAGTGACCAACAGTGCTGAGAGAGAACAGCATGCATGCTGTCACTTGGTTCAAGCAATTAACTGCTAACAAAACATCTGGCTTCTGGTTAAAATAAGTAGTTACACTGTGGAATAGAAGCTGCTGAACTTGAATACAGTGACTCTGTATCGGCAGTGGTGATTTTACCCTGAGAAGACCTTCTTTTAAGTCCATCTGCACTTACTGTCCTTGCGGGCACATCTGTGGCTTGGTAGTTTCCCGGAACTCTCAAAGTGTGTTAAATTAGTGGATAAAAGAATTGATTTAACTTTAATTTTCAAAAGATCTTCTGGTGGTTTTAGGCTAAGGCTAATAGTGTCCTCCCTTTGTGTCTTCAGTTTCCATTGTCACTGTCTGGGTGATGACACAAACTTAAAATAGTCAGTTTTCAGTGTAGCAAAGGATTTGAGCAGGTTGCCCAAAGAGGTTTTTGTACAATGCTCATATTGATTTTTCTGAAGAGATCCATGTAGGTGAACAAACAGCAAAATTGTTTCCTTTAATGCTGAATTCCATTCGTATGTTAGTGTGTTATGAAGAGTATAAAGTAATGTGGATTTCTTAATTGTTTGGAGATTTAAGCTCCTTGCCTTTATAGACAGTCTTTCTTTGATTTAAAATTGCATAAGGGTGATTCGAGTGTAACTTTTGGGGAAGTACAAAGAATAGAGTAAGACATGATGGCTGTATGTAATCTGTGAGTGTATCTAGGAATCTCCCTCTTTTTGTTTAAAACCCCCAAAACAGTTAAAATCAAGTCATACAGGTATTTCACGCAGTCATAGCTTAATGCTCAGATTAACACCCCAGCATGGTAATGCTCACCGTTCCCTCACAAAAGTGCATTCTTTGGCATTAAAGTTTCAGCTGATAACTTTACAGTAAGGTTTTAAAGTTACTTCAGGAGTTAGCTCTCTGTTCTTGATGCTGTAATCACAAGTAAAATCAGCAAGTCTGACCTCAGTCTTAACTCTGGAGGCCAAGTCAAGCTCTTCAAATAGAACATTTTTGGTATGGTACAGAATTCATCTCTGCAGTGGAAGAAGTGTTGAAGCAGACATCAAATATAAATACTTCCAGTGTCTTCCATTGAGAAATATTTCTGTCTTGATTAATCTTGTTCTGTGTTTAGATAAAGGTGATTTTTCCTGAAGCTTGACTAATTCATTCAGAATTTGGAAACTTGTGAGGGCTCAGCTTGGGAAGAGGATTTTTAGAACTTGTCCCTATTGCTCCTTTCTAACATAAAATAAACGAAGCATATGAATGGTGATGTTAAGCCATGTTCCCAGTGAAATAAGGAGTGTAGGCAGCAAAAAGGACAAGACTTAATGTTGGGGCGAAGGTGACTGGTAATTGACCAACTTTAATAATCATTAAAATCAGAAAATCTGCTCCAATAAGTCACGTGAGGACACAGCACCAAGTGCTTTAGAAAAATAACAGACGTAAAATTGCAAACAGGAAAAGATCACTTGAAATTAGGATTATAACTGTTAATTAAGATACTTAGGCTGAAATAGATCTTCCTTCTGAAAGTTCTTGTACTTCCTAAGAGCCAATTGTTGTGCCAGTTTTAATGCACTGCTTAGCTAGTGCAGAGTGTTACTAGCAGGTGTGATAATACTCTGAGCCAAAGTCTTGGCGTGGCCAAGAGTTGTAAAGTAGCTCTATTTTACTAGGAATGACTGCTTCACTTGACTTGCTGTTACTTTAACAGCAAGCTGGCTAATCACTCCTTTAGATTGGATAGCCAGAAGGATCAAAGTTCTTTTAGAACAGTAGGTGTTAAGAGTTGGTCTGACTATACAAGAGAATGGCATACGGAAGTTCGTTATATTCTGACAAATAAAGAAATGTGCTTCACTGAGTAATGAATTTCTCTAATATCAGTACTCAGGTTTTCTTGTATCTTGTTCCTAACTGGCTTTTACTTCCTGTCCCCAAATTCCTCGTAACAAAATGATAAACAACCAACTGATGACTTTTTCATATTTTTTTTTAGTACATTCAGAAGAAGCACTCTTTTTACTGGCAACGTGTTACTACCGCTCAGGAAAGGCCTATAAAGCATACAGGCTCCTAAAGGGACACAGCTGTACTACCCCACAATGTAAATACCTGCTTGCAAAATGTTGTGTCGACCTCAGCAAGTAAGTAAATCTTTCATGTTCTGTCCAGGGTTACAAATGCATACTTTTGTTTGGATTCCTCTTTGGAAGCTGTCATATTGCATAAACTAGTCATTCATCGGTCCTTCAGCTCTAAAGATTATCATAAACTCAATTCACTTTGCTTTCAGATATATTGCAGACACCTCTAAAAGGTATTGAATAACTTAAAAAGGAGTTGTCAAGCTGTGTAGAGGGAGAAAATGTTAATTGCTAGGATGACTCAAGGAGACCACTCTGGGAAGTGTTTATTTTGGCTTTGTGTTTCTCTGATACTTTTATTTCATTAAGTGTTCCCAGTATGAACTTAATGGGTAGGCCACTTCCCTCGAACAGTAAGATTGTTCCTCTTGCCCAGTTGCTGCTGATGGGTGGGTGAGAGAAAAGGTGTCAGACAGAAATTTGTTTTTAAAAACCCACCTTGAATTCACATCCGAGAATGTATTCAACAACAGAATGAACCTTGACATAGTGTCAGAGTATCTTGCTGGTTTTCTGGAGTCTTAAGTATATAATGAAATTGCTCAAGCTACAGCCCTTAATGCCCTGAGAACTTGTTGATGAGGGTATTTCACTTCTATGTAGACATTACAGTTCAAAAGTAGGAAACAATATCTGGCTGAGGTGCAGAATGCAGAGGATGAGGCACCAAGAAAGGGAAAAATTTTTGCTCAAAAAATTTTAAGTACTGCAGGGGGTTCTTTAGAGAAGCTTAATTGTCTTCTACAAAACAGCTTGTGGTTATGTATTGTGGCTTTTTTGCCTTGTTTTTTTTGAGTGGCTCTCTTTCACTGACCCAAAAAAAGTGTAATTTCTTTAGAATAGGTAACATGATGTTTGGAGTTTTATACAGTATGATGTGATTATTTTGCAGGATTCATGATCCTGCTCACAACACATAACCAAAATGCAGGCCTCTCCAGAGGCAGCAGGGGAAGCTCCTTAGTCTTTGATACTCTATTTAGTAGGTGAGCCCTTTAACATTTTTAGAGTAGCGAGGATGTCTTGACTTGTTGTGTTTCTTCTGACACTCTCTTAACACTTTTGGCGCTATTGGGATACAGGTTTCTTTGCATCTTCTGTTGAAAGGGAAATCATGTTAATGCTCTACTTGGAAAGGTCCCAGTGGAATAAATTTGAAGCGGTTGAATCCCTCCCTTGATTCTATGAAGTCTGGTGTGTGCATATAGTACACCAGCTTCTGAACTGATTTCAGTTAGATAGGTGGGATTTTTTTAAAATGCATTCTTTAGAATTTGTTAAATTGAACTGTCATTGTTATTACAGTTATGAGCTCATTTATGCAGATGTACCTTATTTTCTTGTGGGAATGGTCTATACTGATAGAAGCATCTACCTACAAGTATAATTTCAAGTGGAGGCAAGAAGAGATGATTTGTTTGTGCAGGTGTGTGTCTCAAATGCCAGAAGAATCCCTCCCATTCCCAGAACTTATATAAAGTCATTTTTAAGCCTAATAGTGAGTGATTCCATGTGTGGGGTACTGCTCAGTGCAGGTGTAGGAGACGGAAGCTGAGCCTTTGTTCTCCTTTTGAGCCCCTCTTGCAGGAAAGCAAGGCATTAAAGCCCTAAGTCTGTGTCATATCCCAATATTGGATCTTAACTGAGTGCGTGGAGCCTTACAGATTGTATTTCTTAGTTGGGAAACAAAGCCAAAGTAAGCATTGTCTTAGCTTGTTTCCAGGTAAAGTACCTTCAAAAATGAAGTGTCTAGAAGACTTTCTTGTCCTCTGTTTAGTATTCTACCTAAGATTAGTCACTTCTGGAAAAGTCATGTTGTATTACATGTCTCTGGTTTTGGTGTGTGGTTTTGGGTTTGTTTTGGCTTTCTTCCCTCCCAAAAGTGATGTTCAGCTTCAGAATACTGCGTACCTCCATGCTGGTAGAGGAATTCAGCAATTATTTAAAATTAATTTGCAGGAACTAGTTTTTGGTTTGAAACCTGTGGACACTGACAGTGGATTTCTGTTTTTGTTTGCAGCAGGGTGAAAACACTGGACTACCAATACTGTGAGCCTTGTAACCCCTTTAAACCTCTTGTTTTTTAAAAAGGCTTGCAGAAGGAGAGCAGATCTTATCTGGTGGAGTGTTGAATAAACAGAAAAGCCATGATGACATTGTTATGGAGTTTGGTGACTCTGCATGCTTTACACTCTCTTTACTGGGACATGTCTACTGGTAATGTCGCTTTTTCATTTTGTCTAATAAAACTTGAAGTGTTTTATTTGACCAAGCCCAATTCTACTCAAGTATTTTTAGTCACCACAGGGTACACCTGTCTCTGGGTTATATGGCCTGCACATTTTCAGGGTGTGATAGATGTAGATAGATAGTTGGCTCCACAACTAACTTGGGAATGGTTTGTCTTTCACCCAGTGCTTCTGACTGAAAACACAAATTTCTCTTTTCCAGGGTTGCTAAGCAAGCAATCCAATAGTCTCTCTCTTTTTTTTTTTTTTTTTTTTAAATACCTTTGGGTTTGTTCTGTACACTTCTCTAAGAGAAACTCTCAAGGCCTGTTTCTCGGTGTTGCCATTTTGATTTTTCTGTATCTGCTTTACAGATGTATAGCTGTAAAATTGAAATGAAAGTGTTGAGGACTGCCAGTCAGAATAACCTTACATATTTAAGTGTGTTGCTTTTGCCTAGATACGAGAAAGGTTTCAGTAAATGTGAACAGATTGAGTAGGAATAGTGGGGTTCTTGAATTCTTCCCTAGTATAACTGTTTTCAGAAAAATTTATTTTGGAAGCAGCTATCTTTGTAGCCAGTTACTTTAGCCCATAATTTACATGGAAACATATTATCCATAGATATTTAAAATGGCTGGAAGGCTAGCAGTCAGGTTGATGTTTACAAAAAAGAAAAAAGCTGGGGCAAAGAACAGCAGATCTTAAAACAATTCTCAAGCTATACTAGTGCTTATTTTTTGAGCACTGTGTCTAACTTTCATCTGTGTCTAAATATGTCATGTAACTTCAAAAGAACTCAGTATTACTCAGTGGCATGAAAAATGTATAATGTTGCTGTGACTCTCAACATGCTTTTGTTTTTCAACTTTTCTTCTGGAAAGCTATCTTGAACAAAAGTGCTGTTTTCAAGCTTCCCTGTAAACTGTCACATTCTTTTTGCAGCAAGACAGACCGGCTTGCCAAAGGATCAGAATGTTACCAAAAGAGCCTTAGTTTAAATCCTTTCCTCTGGTCCCCTTTTGAATCACTATGTGAAATAGGTAAGTCTGCAGAACTGTTCTACTAGTGAAGGTATCTTCTGCATCTCTGGTTATGTCAAGCTTTCTGATTTGCCGTTGCCGTGTGGCTAGGTTTATTTTACTCCTCGTCTGGAACTAGGAAGGAAAATGCCAGCAGGATTCTTTGGGAGTGGTTTTGTGAGCAATAATGCATTTAAAGTGCTTTGCCAGTGTTTAGAGCTTTTTGTCTTGTTTTCTTCCATCTTCACTACTTATACATTTTTGGATTTAACAATACCATATGTATTCCAGCCTACAGTTAGTAGGCCCTTAGAAACAATGCTTCTGAGAGTAACTTAAAAAAGCAAGTCTTATTTTTCACTAAAACTGATCATCCAGGGTTTTGTTGTAGAAGAACGCTTCTGATTTAATGTAGGGGGCTTTGAAACAATGAAATAAGAATGCACCCCTTCTAAAAGGCTTTGTGCCCTGTCGTCCTTATTTCATACTGAATGTTCAGCATATAGAGGCAGGAATAACTCTTATTTTAAATCTCATTCTGATCTTACAGGTGAAAAACCAGACCCTGACCAAACATTTAAATTAACGTCGTTACAGAACTTCAGCAGCTGTCTGCCTAACACTTGCACAACATTGGTATCTAATCACAACATACCCCACAGACAGCCTGAGACTGTCCTTATGGAAACGCCACAAGACACAATTGTGAGTTTTGCCAAAATTATAGCTGGAAAGACTGATTTAAATACTTAACTGAAAAATGCTAATTAAAAACTACACTGAGTACCTAACAGCTGCCTTCTATTTTTCAGGAGTTGAACAGAATCAACCTAGAGTCCTCCAATTCAAAATATTCCTCCTTGAACACGGATTCTTCTATGTCTTACATTGACTCAGCTGTAATTTCACCAGATGCTGTCCCTCTTGGGTCAGGAACTGCCATATTATCTAAACAAGCTCAAAATAAACCAAAAACTGGGCGGAGTTTACTGGGGGGACCTGCGGCTTTGAGCCCGCTAACTCCAAGGTAAGTCCTTGAGATAGACAATTCCTGCTCTGCAGCTGTGCTGTTGCTCACGTTTGATTTGCAATGGGAAGGATGTCTGGTGCTGCACAGAGTACTCAAACACACAGGGTGATAGTGTATTGTAACTAATGTTGAAGAAGCAATAGCTGAACAACTTGGAGTAACTGCTCTTGGTCCTAGTGTTGAGCTCTCCTGATTTTTTTAAAGAAGCAGTTGGTGTTTTTGATTAGAATAGAGGAACTCGTAGTTTGATATATTGCTTATTGTGACGTTCACACTGGGAAAGTCTTTAAAGGAGTATGTTTCTGCTCTGAAATAAAATCTGAAGAGCATTCCTTGAAGAGCAGCTATCCCTAAAGAGTGTGTAAATGTGTGTTCTGACCTATATGCCATCTTGCTTAAACAGCATTGTATTACAAGCCATCAATACTTGGATATTCTGTGTCTGTTAGTTATTATGCAGGCAGACAAAGAATGTTCTCTATTTTTCTGTTTTTCAATGTCATGAATAAGAATAATTTCTATTAAAGTGGCTTTTATTGATGAGGATATTTAAGATATTAGAGGGTTAACATAAATCAAAGTAGTAGTTCTGAAATAAAGTCGATCATCTGGGTCTCTGTTTTAACCACAGAATCAGTTCCTGTGGTCTAACATTCAGACATTGACCCTTCCTCTTCATTTTGTTCTCAGCTTTGGAATTTTGCCACTAGAAACCCCAAGCCCTGGAGATGGACCGTATTTACAAAACTACACAAATTCTTCTTCTGTAATTGATGTGCCATCCACAGGAGCACCTTCAAAGAAGGTATCTTGCATTCTGGAATATGATTGTTCTATGAGTTTGACATTGCAGGGTATTTTAAAGAGGAATCCATAATGCAGATAAAACCAAACATTGAATGTGAGCTGAATTGTGCTGACAGTGGAGAGAACCCAACTTAGTGTTTAGAAAATTTGTTTTGAGAAACAGTTTGAGTGTGAAACTCATTGCAGTCTCCTTTAGTTGTGGGAATGGTTTGGGTCCACTGAGAATTAAATTTATGTATAATTTGTCTACAAAGTGTGTGTGTGTAAAACAAAAAAGCCCAACTGCTCTTACTAACAATTACTTCATGCAGCAAAATAAAATGTTGTTCACTAGCTTCTGTATATTTATAGGTTAGTGAGGTTGGGGATGCAAGGAGCGGTTCATTTTTAATTCGACTGCAACTGGTCAGGTATTTATCTGACAAACTTTTTAGGCTTTTTCTGAAGTGTTAGGTAAAATCAAATTCTTTGTAGAATAGTCTGTTACATTGAAACGACTGTTTCTAAAGCTTCAATAGTTTTTTTTTTAATTTTGAAAATCTTTTCAGCTAAGCAAATGAGGCAGCAAGAGGAAAAAATACACCCCATCACAAGCAAAGATGTCTGTGTTGTAAATATTTTCAACCTGTTGTGTCACTTTCTTTGGCTAGCAAAACAGTTTTGTTTTTCTCAGCTTTTATAATGATAAGCAATAGTCCTTCATTTCTAATTAAAACAAGCCCTTTATTCCCTACCACTCAAAATGCACAGGCATGTGCAGGCTGGCTGACAGGTGTTGCTAGAGTTGACCTGAGGAAGGTGCTGTTATCTTCTGTCCACCTGCCATCAGAGGAATGTACAAACACAAATGTTTCTAAACAGCCGAGGATTCATAACTTCTCAGTGTGCAGGGTAGAGTCTGAAGACAGTCTGAACTTGGAGTTTTCACTTTCAGGTTTTTTTAATTCACGTACTTTCAGAGATGATTTCAAATAATCCTAGAAGCCTCGAGTGAGCTGAAGCTGCTGCTTTCTTGCAAGCAGTTCTTGAATTCTAGTTTAGAGAACAGAGTAATCAAAATACTGCTGGTGGTCTGTGAAGGGCTGACTGATAGAATGGTGCTGTTTCACTGAGCTAAGTCTTGTGTAGAGGAAACTAAAAATTGTCTTTTTTTACTCAGTAAGAAACTGCCATAGTTGCCATAGTGATAAATGAGAGGTGGAATGTTGGTGACAGTTAAAGAACCATTTGTTCCTTTCTAAAAACAAAAAACCTGAGGATTTTTCCCAGTATTTTTAGTAAATCTAGAAGTTGCATGAGGGATGCTAGTGTTTTATAGGTGGCCAACTTCTTTTTTTTTTGTTAAAACTCAGTGCAAGCAATAGGGTTGAATTCCTCAAAAATTAGAACTTAAATTTCTACTTCTGATGCTCTGGACAAATCAGTTGGTGCTCAGCTTGTTGTGCTGTTTTGTAAGTGGAATTTGGGAGCTGTTAAAAACTGTTTGTCTTTTCTCATTGGCCCAGTACGCAGATAACTTTTTTTTTTTTTCCTCCTTTGGATGGTCCTCTGAAGTCTGTGACTGGGAACTCTGGAATTTCATTGCACAAGGCATTATGGTGTCCTGTCTCTAGACACCTCATTACTGCAACACTTTCTATTAGTTCTGTTAGTCATGCTTTCTCTCTTTTTTTTTCTCTCTTTTTTTTTTTGCCTTTGTTCTGTTGGGGCTGTACTGTGCTAAAACAGTCTGCTGGAAGTATGCTTTATATCGCTGATCCAGTTCCCCTGTAGTTGCTCAGGACCAACCAGTTTTCCACCGTATGAGTGAAAACACTGGCTTGTGGTCGATGGTGCATGTGTAGGAAGGTAAATTTTTGTGAGTCTAAAAGATTGAAATAGTCAGCAAAGTGCAGCTCTTCAGTGTAGTACTCATCTGCATTTAATCTCACATGTATTCTACATGATAGATGAAAAGTTTGTGGGAATCCAGTCATATTTGTTGCTTTTTTGTTGCTTTGCTTGGTATGGCACAACAGTACCAAGGCATAAATTTCATGAATCCATGTGAATGCTTTCTGCCCAGGTGCATCTGTGCTACTACCTAAAACCAAATATTTAATACATTTTAATAAACAGTTTAGAATTCTGATGCATGCTTTGTCCAATGAAAATAATTACTTGGCCAGTTTCACTTCTGCTCTTCAAATTACAGAGTTAGAAATGGTTTAGTGTAGCTGTGGCTAGAATGTGCATGAGTTAACGGAGGCAGTTTCCTAGGAAACGCTTACGTAAATGAATGAAACATTAGGATGAATCCAAAGGCTTCCTATCTGAGTGGGCAAGCATGCTTGCTGGCCGCCTAAACTGTCCTCTGATAACAAAGAAACTGAGAAGGGAAGGGAAGGACAGAACCTTAGAAGTCGGATAATGCATAAACTGGTGTTGCTTGTGCTGTCATTGATCCCAGTGGCCGATTTGTGGTGTCTCAAAGAACATCTCTTCCAAACAGCTGAGTTGAATGTTAGTGTCCCTAGGGTAGGCAGAAAGATAGGGTTTAAGCTTTCTTTAAAAGGCAGGGAGGGGAGGACCTGTCCTGAATCCTTTATAGGAAGTCTACACATCAGACAAGGAGTATCAATCTGAACTTGTTCCTTAAGTCTTAGATTCACAGTCAAGTTATCCCAGCTCAGAGTTCCCACACCTCAGCTGTGCCAAGGTAGGCATCAAAGAGCACATTTTAGCTCTGTGAAGATGTAAGACAATGTTTTGGTGCTAAATCATATTACACGCTTGTAACCTGTGGCAAATAAAAGGTACAAAAACTCGTGTGTGTGCACAAAGTGTTGCTCAGCTGACAGGCAGTAACGTGCTGCTCCGTGTTACCTTGGCTGTAGGGATCTCCCTGTTAACTTCCTACACTGCATAATGCAGGTCCCTTTTTGATGAAGCAGTCTGTCTCTGTATAGGCTCATGCAGTATTGATTTAATTTGTGAAATACTGATTTATGCTACAAACATATGTTACACAGGGGAGTGGCAGGCTCAGATGTCCTACAGGGAGCACCTCAACGAGTTAATGGTCTTAATGCTTCTGGATGTGACTGTAATATGATAATTCAAAAATCTTTCTTTCCGTGGTTGGTTTTTCAGTTTCTTTTTTATAACTTTCTGTGGAGAAGGAACTTTAAAAGTCATCTTTTATTCTTGCACAAACATCTTAACGTATAGTTTCTTGCCACTAGATGGAGATTTTATATCTTTCAAATAATGTGCACAGAATTGGTGTTTTAACATGTAGAAAGAGAACTGCTTTTGAAGAGTGCTTCTTGGAGGGGGACCCTTCACCCTTTATTGAAAGAATCTTTATTTGTCCTCCTTTTGTGCAGTGTCTGACAGGCAGAATGGGTTTGGTTTGGTAGAGCAGAGATTGAGACATCTTAGTGGCATAATAACAAACCTGTAGAAACTTTGTCTTATGCAGGCTGTCAGCAGGATAAGCCAAGCTGGCACAAAATCTGTCTTCTCACAGAGTGGAAATAGCCGGGAAGTCACTCCAATTCTTGTTGCACAAACACAGAGCTCTGGCCCACAGACAAGGTAGGGGAAAACCAGGAAAAAAAAAATAATCTTGGTATTATCTTCTGCATCTCCTTTCTTGAAGGAATTTGACTCTTATTTGCCCAACCTGCGTATGTGTTCCTGCAAAGTTCCTCTTTGGATGAGGAAGAAGTGTATTTTTGTTAGGTAAAATAACTTCAGTGGATAATGGGAAGCTCATGCGTGGTAGTTGGTCTGTTTGTTTTAAATCTCCTTTGCAGTTAGATCATTTTGTTAATAAATTAAAAAGTAGCTGTAAGGAAATTCTGCTCATGTTCTTGACATGCAACAGGTAGATTTTTTTTTTTTTTATCCCTTGAAATGGGAATTTCTGTGCTGTAGCACTTAAGCATTTTTGTTTAAAACAAAGGTAAAAGCTGTTTTTATTAAAAATGGAGCAAAGAACTTTAATTTTTAATGTGTGCTGTTTGTTTTCAGTACAACACCTCAGGTATTGAGTCCAACAATTGCTGCTCCACCAAACGCACTGCCTCGAAGAAGCTCCCGCCTGTTTACTAGTGATAGCTCTACAACAAAGGTAACAAACCACGTATTTTGCAAACTTGTGGGACACCACACTTTGGGAATGCTGAGGCCTAATGCACTGTAGTTAGGTGATGTGAACATTTGCTGTTTAAAAATGAACTACTAAACATATTTAGTGAAGATACCGAGTCAAATGGCTGAGCATCGTTGTTAAGGCTGCAAAGAAGCATAAATATAACTTTACAAAATTCACATGTTTAGTTACCTGGATTTAAGACTTTTATATAAGTAACTCTTACTCTTCTTAACTTGCAGGAAAACAGCAAAAAATTAAAAATGAAGTTTCCACCCAAGATTCCAAACAGAAAAACAAAAAGTAAAACAAATAAGGGAGGAATAACTCAACCAAACTTAAATGACAGTTTGGAAATTACCAAACTGGACTCTTCCATCATTTCAGAAGGGAAAATTTCGACTGTTGCGCCACAGATCCAGGCTTTTACGCTACAGAAGGCAGCGGCAGGTCTGTTTAAATACTATCAGACTGTAGTAGAGTAAAACTTCATATATCTATATCTTAATAGTTGAATGAAAAAATCTTTTGCTCCAGTGTTTCTTTATTTCTTGTTTCAGTTAGCCTGCAACTATTACCTTTGTATAAAGACATTGAATTCATTTTCTTCCAGTTAACTTACAAAGAGCCTGTGAAGAAGTAGTAAGAAGTGGCTAGTTGTAACCACATGTATCTTGCAGGCTCTGGTCCTTATTAATGATTAAAATATTTTCAGGCAAGATCCTTGGAAACTGATTCAAAGGAGCTATGAGTAATCCAGTCATCTGCCCTCAAAATTGGGTTTATGTAGTCTGTTTTCCCTTCATATTTCGCATTTGTTTAAAACAAGTCTTTATTCAGATTGTCAGAAAATCCTAGACAAACTGTTGAATTCCTCTCTTTTTGGCTCAGTAATGTTTCCAAGCAGCAAGAAGATGTATCCATGGATACCAGACATGTGGAAACTGTGTTCAGACCTAACAAAATGTTTGAATAGCTGCTGTAAATGCAAAACTCCAGTTGCCCTGAACTTCAGTTTCTCTGTTCCTGAGCGTTCTGTTGCTGGCTTAAGAAGTTGTTGTTATCTGACTTCCACTGCAAGGGTTGATGTTTAGAGTATTATGCCTAAGTTAAGAGTGCATAAGCCAGTGTTTGGGAACTTCAGAAAGATTTTCATAACCAAATTCGGGAGCAGTGCCTGCCACAATGAAGAGTTTATGGGATTAGCCATTTAAAGTAAATAAATCTCAGCTGTCTTTTTTTTTTCCACTTTTATTTATTGTATTTTTCTCCTAGAAGGTTTGATGAGCCTTCTTCGTGACATGGGGAAAGGTTATTTAGCCTTGTGTTCGTACAACTGCAAAGAAGCGATAAGTATTTTAAGCCATTTACCATCCCACCACTACAACACTGGCTGGGTGCTGTGCCAAATTGGGAGAGCTTACTTCGAACTTGCAGAATATATGCAGGTAGGAGCTGTGTGGGTTGGTTCTTCCTTGTTTCACTCTTGTTTGCATAGCTTGTAGGAAGTCTGCAGGTTTTGTGCAAAAGCTATGGGAAGTTTACAGCTGAGATAACTTATTATTTATACAGTTACACCTGGAATGGATTTAGATCTTGAATCTGCGTCAGTAGTCATTGAGCTTTCCTGAAGAGGCTGAGTTACACTTCAGATTTCTTTTAACGTTATTTCCTCTTTCATCCAACTATTGAGGTCTCCTCCTTGCCTCTCCCCATCTTCACCCACAGCTGTGCTGATGTAATTGTACTGCAGTGTTGTAGATTAGATCACTGAAACAATTTGAGTTTTAAAACCAAAAACTTCTCTTGCCCTTTTTAGTTAGTGCAGGTCACATCAATAACCTAGTTTCCTTTGCAGCCTCAGAAACGACAGCATTGGCACAGCTGAGGTGATGTCAAACTGCTTCAGAAACAAGCAAGTGGTTAAGGGTTATCCAACAGTTTTAACTCTCCTTGTCACTGTGGTCCTGATAGCTGATGTGCCCATTTCCTCAGGAGTCTTTAAAACACTTTTGTGTGCAGGAGAGAAATGCAGCAGGTTTCAGAAGCGGTTTTTAAACTGTACACAGTCTGATTAGAGATGGAGCACACTGTGCTTCTTAATAGTTTATTTTGAAAACTGAGGCTACAGACCCTAATGGTTTCCTGAAACTAGATTTCTTCCCTTGTTGCTGCTTTGAGTGTTGTAACCTGGAACTTAAGGTTATGAAATAAATACTTATGTCAGAAAGACTTCAGGAATCAGCTCTTGATAAGAAGCATAGCTGTCTCCAATGAAAGTAAAGCACACGTATGTGTTGTCACATGCTTATGCATGCCCCTCATCCCTGCATCAGCCGTGTTTACTGCAATGATTGTCGTGTCTTTTGCCTTGGAATTATTATGCACAATGACTGGAGGGGTGTAGCACTCGGTAGGAATGTGATACCTGTCATATGTTAGAACGGCTGATGGTCATAACTGGCCCATGAAAGCATGCAGCACTTTTTCTGATTTTGTAGGTAACTTTCTGCCTTGCTTGTGTGCTGTGATAGAAACAGTAAAATGTAGTCTGAGCAGCAGCAGGGAGGGCTGGCTGCATTTTTGCTGGCATAGCTATATTGGGGTGTAGCTGCTTCCTTTGCTTGAAGGGGAAGTTACAACACTTGTAGCTCTGCATAGTACACTTATAAAGCAAAGAGAATGCTCAATCTGGATGTGTGAGGCTTCTGACCTTGACTTATCTGCTCTGCTTTGGTGGGTGGAATTTTGTTTTAAGTCTAATTTCTGATCTTAGGCTGAGAGAGTATTTTCAGAAGTAAGAAGGATTGAAAACTACAGAGTAGAAGGCATGGAGATCTATTCGACTACGCTGTGGCATCTGCAGAAAGACGTTGCCCTTTCAGTTCTTTCAAAGGATTTGACGGACATGGATAAAAACTCACCAGAGGTATAAAATGCTGTGGTCTTGAATGAGAGAGGGGAACCCTGTGTGGCAAAATCAATGATTCAGAACAAAGCTCTGAGCTCTAATCTAGTTCCAGTGTATTCTCCTGTGAGAACTGCATGGCAGAACTGGAGAGGGAGGTGGCAGGATTGTCTGTTGAATTGATGATGCCTGAAATGGCTTCTTAGAATTGGAATATCAGCTTACACGGAACAGGTTTGAAACCTTTTATCTATTAATGGTTATTTAAATTTGCATTGGCACCATTCATCCAGGAAGATCACGGGTTCGTCACTCCTACTGCTGCCAGTATGCCAAGATAAGAAATATCTTTTTTCCTGTAACACCTTTTAACTGCTGTAGTTAATTCACTGGCACTTAAAACATATTTGCACTAGAATTTATTTTCAGACGTAGTGTTGCACATTTTTATGCCAAAGTCCATTAAACTTCAGAGTGTATGGTAATATAAAGTTATGACATGTAAAAGGCCGGGCATCTTAATGGCTGCCACAGTAAAAGTAATAGATGTATGTGTTTATAAATGTGTTCTTAACAGAGTTGAGAAAACTGTAGGTTATATTGGGATATTTTTTTTTGTTGTTGTTGGAGAACAGAATGTTGTCTTGTTAGCTTGTCTTATAGTTGAAAAATCAAAACCAATGAAGCAGTTAGTAGTTGTAGTTAGCTACTCCGGAGAGGAGAAAATGCAGATTCTAATAAAGGGAGTGGAGAACAGTTAGGTGATGTGGCAGTGATCTTAACAGTTGGGGAAAGCACAGACCCAGGGCTGTGGTGCTTTACAACCTGAGCAGGAGGGAAAGAGGAGGTTGCTGCTACAATTGATGCTCCGCAGATTTCCAGATATGTCACTTAGAGGGAGCTGAAGAGTGAAAGTACTGTCTCCCCCTTCATTACTCTTAAATATCTAAGATGTTTTATTTCTAGCATTTTCAACAGATTCAAAAGCTTTAGTCATCAAAGTCTCTAATTGGCCCAAACTTACTGTGTGTCCTTAGATTCTTGATTTCTGTATTTCAGCTTGTCTAGCTATCAGGTGTATTTAGGCCTGTCTGCCTCTCATGAATGAGACTTAACTGTTGTTTTATTGCTATTATTGTTTTAACCTAGGAGGAAGTTTATATATCATTAATGTAAATCAGTATGGAAAAATCTGTTCAGCTCAAACTTAGTCACTCTGAGTTGTAAAAAGCATGCTAACTTTGCACTGTTGTGTTTACTAGGCATGGTGTGCTGCAGGAAACTGTTTCAGCTTGCAGCGGGAGCATGACATCGCAATCAAGTTCTTCCAGAGAGCCATTCAAGTTGATCCAAACTATGCTTATGCCTACACCCTGTTAGGGCATGAGTTTGTGTTAACGGAAGAACTAGACAAAGCATTAGCTTGTTTTAGAAATGCAATCAGAGTCAACCCGAGACACTATAATGCATGGTAAGTTTTGCTTCACCCCCTCCTACTGCACGTGACAGAGAATTTCTTTTGGAGAAATCTCTTCTGGATGTTGCTGCTGCTGTCATTTCCTCACCACTCTTCTCTCTAATAAAAGAGCAAAGCTGTTTCTGCAGAAGACGTGGACCTCATTGGAGCTCCACAGATCTTCTTGGCTGCATTACCCTAGCTGTTTTGTTCTGTGCAGCACCCTCATGTACCTAGTTGATTGTTCTTCAACTGCAGTTAGATCTGAGAGTTACAGCCCTTTATACCTTAGGATACAGTCAGTTTCTTTACAGCTTTTTCTGTGGGAAAAAAATAGATAAAACAGTAAAAGTTAGATCTGCTAGTGTAAGTCACTTAGTTTTGAGAAACTTTTGTGTGCTTTTTACTTTGTAGATGTCTAGCCAGTCTTCCTGTGTATCAGCTGTCAATTTTTCAAACTACCCAACTGACCAAAAAAACCCCAAGACAGGTTTAGACAAAGCTTTTTCACACAAGAAATCATTTCCCACACTGGGTGTGTTTGGCGAGTCCATTTCTGTCAGGTCGTATTCACTGACAAAGACTAGTTGGGTTAGAATACAGTCTCATTTAACAGAATTGTTTTTCTGCTTGCAGGTATGGGTTGGGGATGATTTATTACAAACAGGAAAAATTCAGTCTAGCAGAAATGCATTTCCAGAAAGCACTTGATATCAATCCTCAGAGCTCAGTCTTACTGTGTCACATTGGAGTAGTAAGTAGATTGCACTTAACTCTATCCTTGTGTCTTAATCTGCTTCTGTCTTTTTGTTTGCAGTAGAAAAGTAATTCTGAATCTTTTTAGCAAAAAAGCCCAAGAAAATTCAGAGTACCTGTTGGAGGATCTTGAGTGCCATATAAATGAATTACCACAGCTTTAATGTGTCAGAAAATAAACCCTCCCCTTTCTCCAAACTACTTTTAGCCAGTAATTAAATTATACTATCGGGTCATGTTTGTGAGTCAACCAAAATAGTGGTGATATGAAAATCAAGACTGTGCGAGTATTAATGTGAACAGAGGTTGGTTTTGGGTTTTTGTGGGTTTTTTTGGGGGGATATACTTAAATTAAGTGGCTTTTAACTGCTATTGTATGGGTTTGGACCAGCACTTCCAGCTCTGTAAAACGCTAAGGCACCCGTCTCACCTTTCAGAGCAGAGTATTTTTGTCCTGGCTGTATGTTTGCAGTGCCCTTGTTCCAGTCACATCTACAAGCGATAACTACTTAGGCTGCTTGGTGCCAAGTGAAGTTTAAGTAGCTGCCTGTTACTTAAGCCACTATCCGTTCTATTAAATTGATAGGGCTGTTTGAAAAGCTGGAGCCTCCCTCCAGCGAACGCTTGCGTACAAAGTTGGGAAGCACTTCTGGGGTATCTGTGGTGGACTCAAGGCTGTAGGTCTGGTGGGTGGTTACCTGCTGGCAGAGATGTGTCACGTTCTATGGGGGTAGTGGCTGCTTCTCACTTACATACAGCAAAAGGCCTTGAGTGCACTCCTGGCCAAAGGTTAAACAATTCCTGTAAGCCATTGGGTGGGGAGGATGTTTTGAGGTGGAAGCAAGGTGAGGTTAAGTTTTCTTCCTGTAAGAAAGCTTGTTAAGACTTGGTCTAGAATTGGACTTTTTTTTTTTTTTTTTGAAAGGAATAGACTGTAAGTAAATGTTGTTAAATGGATTTGTCCTTGTCTAATAGATAAGCTGTTATCTTCCATTTTAAATTTATTCTCTCTTTCTGTAACAGGTCCAGCATGCACTGAAAAAATCTGAAAAGGCTTTGGATACTTTAAACAAAGCTATTAACATTGACCCCAAGAACCCGCTATGCAAATTCCATAGAGCTTCTGTATTATTTGCAAATGAAAAATACAAGGTAAGATTTGGTACAGGTAGACAACCTGAAGTTGTTTTTAAACTTCTGTAGCTGAGAGTGGGAATGCACTGGAAGCTAAATGTTTTTAGACTAACACTGGGTAGCATCAGGGTTTGCAGGAAGAGCCTGGGATGTTGGCCTGTCTTGTAGAAGCTAACGTGAAGCATTTGCTTTGTCAGGTGCCACCTTCACCAAGGGAACTATGTTAAATTTTTTGATAGAAAATCTGGGGCCAACTGTTGGTGCTTTTTTTTTTTAGTTATTCTAGTCTGACCCTGGAAAAAAAAGAAGAGGAAATTATTACAGCTGTCACCAACATGTGACTGTCTTATCATGAGTTTATACTAGATTACTAAAAAAGGCTCAGCAAACTGCTCCATAACCAATTACAACAATAAGGACCACTGATTTCAAAGGCTGTATTACTGAGTGAAAAATAAGAAGCCTAAGCAATTTTGGTCTGATCCCCTGCTGACCTGTCCCTGTTTAGGATAAGTGAAGATCTTCCCACAGTGTCTTTCCAGAGACTGTTGTCCTCTGGCCTGTTTTTTTGGCTGTGGAAGACAAGCTGCAGTCTGGTTTTTGAAACCTTGCTTCAGAAATGTGTATGCACATGTTAAAGGGAAAACTTTTACTTAGAAATTAAAAAAAAAAATAATTTGATGAACGAGTTCAATATAAAATGTATTAAGCACCTAATGAAGTGCCCATTCATGAGTTGTTTTTAAAATTTAAAAGCAGAGGATAAATAGAAGAGGAAAGAAAAAAATCTAATAGTCCACTACCTTACTGCCCCTTGTTAATGAAGGAACTTGTTGACCATGGTGAAATGATATTTTAGGAAATAAAACATTTAGACCCTCTTTTCTTTATTGGGCTGAGTCTTGTAAGATTAAAGTTACGCTGTTCACATAAACTACATCAAACTTAATGAAAGGTGGTTTTTAGCACCAGTAGTAAGAGAATTTTGATAGTGTGATAAATTTGGCTAGTGTTAGGTAAATAAATGTAGGTTTATACTTCCTTTTATGTAGCAAGCCCTAACTTGAAATTGTCTTCACATGAATAAGTTTGAGAGGGTTGAATGTAACTTTTTATAACTAAAACCAACACTTATTTCTAACTGCAGACTAAATATTTTTAGGTAGGATTCTTTAATAATGCCAGGCTACTGTCACAGTAGAATAAATGGCTCCAGTGTCAACAATTAGTTTAAAAATAAAGTAGAAATTTTACTAAATATTTTGGACTTCAGATGCCTAATATAAACACAGTAGTTTATAAAAGTTCACAGATACATATCTGAAACCAGAACCTTTCAAAAGCATAGGCTTGAGAACAGTACATCCAGCACAAAATAAATCAACATCTCACTTTTTCAGAAGCTCAGTATTCTAAAGGAAGTGCCCCCTGTAAATACACTGCCAGCTTCTTGCCTTCTACCTAGTTATGCCTTATTGGGGGCAACAGGGGCATTTATATCAGAGATGTGTTGTAGGAGACCAAAGCCTGATAAATTTGCTATATTTCTGTAATAATGGGGCTATAATATGCTACAATTGTTAAATAAAAACCTAACGTAAAAGGAATTTTAGATGCTTCTGAGATTGTACTATTGCTTTTGATGGAATATACTGTATATAAATGCCAGGATTTCTTTTTTTTTTCCACGTTAGTGTGAAGTCACAGTTTAGTGATGTCATAACTGGTTGCAGACTGCTAGCTTCTAGTTACTAAGCTCTTTTTTTTTTTTTCTTCCTTTTTCAGTCTGCTTTACAAGAACTTGAAGAACTGAAACAGATTGTTCCCAAAGAGTCTCTTGTTTACTTTTTAATAGGAAAGGTAGGTAGAACTTAACTGTGATCGTAAGCTCTTTGGTTTCCTTTGTTGCAGAAATGTATGCCTGATGAGAAAATTTGATGCCTGTCACTAAGCTGCTTCCATTTGGAGCAGTATTCTAAAAATTCCCAAAGCTTTAAATAAGGCTTACTGCTCACAGTATCAGCTTTTAAATGCAAAAGACCATTACTACTGCAGCAGCTCTCTTTAAAACAAACCAAGAAGAAAATAACCCAAGCCAGTGTTGTTATTTGCCTGCTTTGATTTCACCGCTGTCAACTTGAAAGATAATTAATTTTAAAAATCAATAAATTGACGGTGGTAAAGATACTTCACGGAAAGGAGATGTGCAGAGCCATGTATCTTTCCCTGAAAATGGAACTCTAGCAGTGATGTGATCAGTGGAAATCCTTATAATTTTGAGGGATAGTCCATCCATCAGTCAGCAGTGTTACTTATTTGTGTGTGTAGCTGTTAAAATGTTGAATCACACTCTAATGCATTCTATCAGAAATGCTGTGTAAGGAGTAATTCTACTACTAAGTCTCCATCAATAGCCACAATGTCCTTTTCAGCTGACAGTCTCCCCCCAAAAATTGTAGAAGATTCTCAGTTTGAAAATAAGAAGAATCTTCAATGGGGAAGGCTAGCACAGGAAAAGATATTAGTAGTTTGTCAGCTGTGTTTACATTCCAACCTTCTTTGTGTTTAATGGCAGAGAAAAGTAATCTGGAAATAGAAATCCTCCTTTCTCACCATCTTCTCTGCTAATATGCTTTAAGTTCTGCAACTTTCTTCCTCTGTGGGGTGTCAACTAGGAAGCAACAAGACAGACTTATTTTTAGCACGGTGCTGGATAACTCTTAATTAGAGAGATTATTAATTTATTTTTTTTTAAACTGGAGAGAGGTAAAAGGATTTGTGCTGAAATTTCTTGACTGGTATTTGTCCAGGAGTAGCTGGATATTTAAACTGGCATTAGTGTTGCCATGTCTTGACAAACTTAAGTACTTTCAGTGTTTAAATTTTTAAGACAGGTAAATTACTTGCTCCTCTGTCCTTAATGCTAAGGAGCTTTGGTGCAAGTTAACAGTGACAAGGTAAAATAGGGGCTGGATTCTGGAGTGCAGTGTTGTCTTGAAAGTGTTGCTGTTCAGGCCGAGGTGTCACTTAATGTCCCGTTGTTTTCTCTACCTGCCAATGACCATTAAAATGCCACTTGAGGATGTAAGAATGGCCAAAAATCTGTCTAACCTGTATGTATCCTACCTTTGCTAGTCCTCAGTAAGAGAGCTGTAGGGAAGAGTGTAAGATTGAGTGCACATGGTGATACTTCCCTGGGTTGTTCTCTGGGCCTCTGACATGAGACATCTGAGATTTTAGACTTTTCCTGAACCACAAGGAGATTTGGGATCACGGTGACTCAAGAAACTGCAAGAGTGGTGAGGGGGTACAACAAGCAAAAAAAAAAAAAAGTACACCCTGCTGCAGCGTTCCAAAGCTTAAATTTGTATCTGAAGATCCACCTCCTTATGCTTTTGAATCTGTCAGCTGCTAGTTTAATTTAAGGTTTTTGGAGTCTTAAATAGAAACACTTGCTTACTCTTTCTACACATACTTGCTGTTTCCCTTGGGACTTGTATAAGAAATCTTTCTCTCCCCTCTGTTGCTTTTCATAAATTAGCAGTTAACTGTGGCTTGGCATGTTTGTCCAAACCTTCAAGTAGCAACTTCATGTAAATGTAGCCTTTTATGCTTTTATTTTAGGTTTATAAAAAACTGGGTCAAACACATTTGGCCCTAATGAATTTCTCATGGGCAATGGACTTAGATCCCAAAGGAGCCAATAACCAGATTAAAGAGGCCATTGATAAACGTTACCTGCCAGATGATGAAGAACCAATAACTCAAGAAGAGCAAATCAGTGAATGTTACCCTTATGAATCAGGTTTGTATTTCCCACCCTCTGTCATTCAAGGATGTATTTCCACTTAGGTGGTAGGAAGAATCCCAGGTTTAACAAGTGAAACGCTGCTCAACCTCACTGCTTGGCAAGTAAGAACTTCAGAGGCTCTTCACTCAGAATTCATTCATGCTTCCTAGAGTAAGCATGAAATAAAGGATTGTGACATTTCTTTAGAATTTCTGTAGATGGAATAGGACAGAGATACTGTAAATTCATACAAATCATGGTTGACTAATAGTATCCTAGGAGAGCAAGATGTTCCCAGAGCTGCAGATCTTCACTTGTAGAAGCATCAAATCCTTTCAAGGTAACTGAATGGCAACTGAAACTGTCTGTAGAGGCCTTGTTAGAACTTAAACAGAGTGGATGTTGGGTAAAAATACCTGTTCTGCTAAACATAAAAAGGTAGCGTGTGATAAAAGTCATGAAAACAGTTTCATCTGAACGGAGAAAGTAAAACACTTCTGTTACACTACTTGGGAATAATCCACTGAAATAGTGATAGAAAGTAAATAGTAATAAGCAATATAATTCTTTTCCTCCAAAGAAGAAAATATAGCAGGTTTTGGGTTCTCATTTACACACGTGCTGTGTTCAGCAATTCTAAATCTTCAGCTGAAAAGGTTGGCATGTTTGCCTATAGTATATCGCGTAGATTTTCATGGGTTCTGTATACAATTTGCTTTTTAATACTGAAAACTTATCCTGCATTGCACTTCCTGAAGTGTCAAGGGCGTTTCTCTCCCTGCTGTTGTAATGGGGCGAATTTCGAGGGCTGGCTCACTGGGGGCTGAGCGTGGTTCTGGCCAGAAGATGGAGACAGAGTACTTGAACTGCTGAACGGCACCTAAGCAGTACAAAAAAAAAAAACAAAACACCCACACAAAAAAAATCCAAACCCCACACCTCAAGAACAAAAAACCCAACCTCAAAACCCACAGAAAGACCCAACCCCAAAAAGAAAAAAAAAAAAAAAAAATCAATTTAATCTGTCTAGCAAACATAACCAAAATAAAACTCCTGGGCAGTGTGTAAGCAATTCCATTTCCCTGGCTGTGCATATAAATTGTAGGAGAGTTTCACAGTCTCAGCTGAATAACTCTTGTAGGGTACATGAGACAAGCTGAAATTAAGGTAGTGCTGGGGGCTGCAGGAATTAGTTTTTGTATATTGGCTACTGTAAGCCATTTTGTGCATTAAATTGCCAAACGTGGGACTGGCTGTGTCAGTTGTACAGAAACCTGTAAAGTGTTTGCATTCAAGTGATAAAAAGCATCTGTGTTTCTACCCATGAAACAACTTGGGTATTTGGGAATTTACAATTAATATGATAACTATATGATGGAAAGCAGACTCAGTTGCATTCCTGTGTGTAATGAAGAACACCCATCATTAGATATTTACCTTTGTTCTCATTTTAACAAGTATAGAAGTTAAATATTTAAGGGTAGCCCCTCGGTACGTACACATTTATCTTGTGTGCTGTGCACGACATGCTGTCTTTATTCAAATAGCAGTAGGAACCTAGTTTTCCTGGAAGCCCTAGGCTAGCCATCATCTGCGCTGTGTGAGCAAAGTAATTCTTCAAGCATCAGAAACGTCTGTGTGCACATACTCATAGCAGTTCTCTTACCACATGTAGTATTCTTTGTCAGGGAAGCAGGGAGAAAGCAGAGGCTGCCCAACTCAACTAATTGAATGTTACTTGATTGTAAATTGAGTGGTCACGACGCGCTGATGCAGTGAGTAACTAACATGAGCGTTTGGAAGGAGTGGGAAGGTTAAATTGCTCCTAAGGCAGTTTTGGAACCCTCCATACCAGTCTCTACCTAACTAGGTGTTGGAGATGTCCCACTTTTAACAGACCATAGCTAAGGCATTATGTTTTGTTGGTATGTACTTCGTGTTAATTCCTTTCTAATTGCATTTATTTACACTTCATTAAGCTGGCAGGGATCAGTGTATTAGAAGGAAAAAGAGAAAAGCCATATGGGTTTACAGCATTTGGAGGGGAAGCCCAAACCCGTTGCTACTGTGCTTTTGATGTGCTGGAGTTGATTGTGGGGAATCTTTGTAACGAAGCAGCCCGGTAGTGTTTGACTACTCTGTGTTTCTTTCTTCTTTCAAGTTGGCACAGACGAATCCCAAGAGAGCAGCATGACGGATGCAGATGACACACAGCTCCACGCAGTTGAAAGTGATGAGTTTTAACCTCCAAAAGCCAGTATCTGAGCTCAAGTGTGTGACTGGTACTGTTGTGTTCTCCCCTTCCTTTGCATCCTGGGTCTTCACATCACTGAGCCAGCATTGTCATTACTCTCCACTGACACCATGAGTACACCACTCAGACTTAAACTGTACACCGAGTTAATGGCAGTGCAATATTCAGCTGCTACTGAGTCTGACTAGTTGGCTCTTACACATTTATGAAAGTGACTGAGGACGAAATGCTATTTTTGGACTCTCCTTTGCTGGAATAATATCATGGAAGAAAGACTTGTGGTTTGCTGTAATGAAGCCAGTAGATGTGGGGATAGTACTAATGAAGCAGTGTCTTGTTCTTTTTCCAGAAATGTGTCTTAGTTTGGTTCTTTCTTGGTAAGCAGAGTGCTAAACCTCATTTCCAAGTTCTTCAAGGACAGTGACAAATGCAGGCTGTTAAAGACTTTTGCATATATTGTAGTGTAACTTAAATACCAGGGAATGTAAATGACCTTAAAGCTGCAGTGTCTCCAGTGAACAAACACAATGCACATGCTCAGGACTAGGAGTGTGTCAGACTACGTAAAATATCCAGTGTCCCTACTTAGAGTGCAAACTTGCAGGAGTGGAAATGTAGCAGGAGAATCACATTGCAGAATCAAAGCTTTCATGAAATGCTTTCATGTTCTAACCGAGGATTAATTTATTCACCTAGTTTCTGAAAGGTCAGTGTTTACTTTGTACTTCAGAGAAACAAGTCAGCAACACCTTGCTTCATTTTTCATATACCCCTTGACTTGTTCTTCCCCTTTTAAGAAAAAAAAAAAAGAATAAAGGGCAAAAATCAAGAGAGAAACGTAGATAGAACTGTAATGCGAAAACATCAAGCCCTTAATCTAGAGTGACTGCGTGTTTCTGAGCAGGTAGACTGGGAAGACTGTGGAAGCCTTAATACAATCAGAACCTTAGTGAAATACATCAAATAATTGTCTAAGATTAGTATCATTTTTAAAACTGTTTTGTAAAGTGTGGTCCAAGCAGGATGCAGAAATGTGCAATTATCTGTCTTTTTTTTTTTTTAAGCTGTTCTTTAAGATCCTCACTCTAGGAATAATTTCCTCTTCTACAGAGTCTGCTTCTGTGAGAAGAAACCTATGACACGTTTGAGTCCAAAATGATCTTTCTCTGTAGCACTCTGCAAGCAACAATTGATGCCCTTTATGCAGTGTTGATAAAGAAAGTGTATGATATAAGCAGTTTTAAAGAGCAATTTATGCATAATAAATTGGGAATGATATAAATTTCATAGCAACATATTTTTGTGGTCAGTCTTCATGTTCTTTTCTTAATGTCTTTTCTTTTAGGGGTCTTTTAGTTACCTCTAGAACTTGATGTCTTCTGTCACAGCTCCTCTCTGGTCATGAGCCACATGGACACCTTTATCACTTGAAAAATAATCCTTAAGTGCTGAGCAAAAATATAATTCTTCAGGCTTGGTTTTTTTGAAGTAGGAGGATAAGCGGTGAAAAATAGGCTTAAACTCCTGTAATAGCACAAAAAGGAATTTCTAAAATCTGAGGCATGGTAATATATTAAAGGAGCTTTGACCTTCTGCCATGTACTTCTGACCAGCTTGTGTCTGGAAGGTCGATGAATTGACTGGAAAATCATGACCTGTTTCAGCTGCCTTGAGTGTGCCGCGTCCTGCACTGCGTGTTGTGGTGATCGATATTCTGGGGCGATTCCCTTTCTGTGTGAGTCCCTCCCCGAGGAAGATGCGGGGCTCAGATGCCCTGACAGCTGCTCTGTATCTCCCATCGACCTCCCGTGCACTGCTCGAGTGTCTGTGTCCAGGTCGTGTCCGTGTCCATCCCGCTGTGGTTCCCGTGCGGATGCAGCTTCCCAGCACATCCCTTGCAAGGAGTTTCTAAGCAGCACCTCAGCATAAGGTCTGGAGGCAGGCAGCACTTGTGTGAAAGCCACCAATTAAGGTGTTAATTGGCTTCCTTTTGGTTCCCAACATACTTCCTAAGCAAAAAGCAGGAGTAAGGAGGTGCTACTCAAGACTTTTTCCATTTAAAAAAAATGCTGTTTCTTCAATGGGAACCAGAGATCTAGGAATTTCAGTGGCTTTTTCCCTTTTGTTCTTTAAAAATTGGGAACACTTGTAATAAAATTTTCACCACCCTAGGAAGAGCCCTTAATTCAGCTGGGATGTGAAAAGGATATTCCTGCTACCTGGAAGATTTAACACGTAAAACTGTCCATTGTTTTATATGTACATCATACTTCAAAGCGATTTTTTTTTTTTTCCCCGAGAATCTCAAGTAACCTTTAGACCACATTACTATTTTGTCTTCTAAATAGATACACAAAATTATTATTTGATCAATAAAATTTTGCTCTCTTCAAAGAGGGGCAGGGAGGAGGGCGAGCATGAAGGCACTCTGGCAGCCAGGTTAGAGCAAGTGTGTTCACGGAAAAGAATTAGGGAACTGTCATTTTCTTACAACAAAACTATGGAAAAATGCAAAGTGTGGGCGTGGTGTGTACTATTTGCATTGAAACAATGTAATTTGTCTTCTTCCTTTTTTTTTTGCTTTTCCTGACTTTTTATTTCAGAAATTGTACAGTTTTTGGGGGGGGTGGGGGAAAGTCTTTTCTGTTAATATATTTGCGATTCATTAAAGGATGTGGAAAATCCAAATAAACTACTTTTAAAAGCAGGTTTATCCCCAGGTGCTTTGGGTCAGTGTTGGGACTCACCCTGCAGGAGGTGGATGAGTGGAGAGGAGCTGGAGAGGAGCCCTAAGGCCACCCTGGGGGTGTGGGGGAGCTGGTTTCTGTCCTGCAGTAGCTGGTGATCCCAGCGTGAAGCCAAGATGCCCCCGTGTCCTCCTGGCTCCATTCTGAGTGAGGTGTGGGGGGGTTACACCTGCTCTGAGGGGCGTGCAGTGACATTTCCAACAGCAGTTCTGTTCATCAGCTGCCATCCTGCAGCCTCAGGGGAGGCTCCATAAACTCCCAGGTACGGAGCAGAGATTTTTTTTTTATTTATTTATTTGTTATTCTGCCTTCCATAGCTGCTCCTAACGTTGATCGTGGCTGCGGCTGGTGTTGGCTCAGCAGAGAAATGATTACAGACTTTGCTCTACTTTCAGACCTGGAGGAAAAGCTTGCCAGGAAGGCAGCGTGAGGCTCATGGCTGTATGGGAATTCCTCTTGCTGCATAGACAGTATCTTGGATTAAGGCTTCTGGTACTCATTTTTGTCTACTACATTAGCATAATCCACTATTTTTTCTGAGCTAAATTTGGCTGTAAAAGTGACACTGAACTTAACCCTTTCCTACACCCAGTTGCTTCCCATCCTCTTTTTTTTTTTTTCCCCCATGTTTGTTTTAATCCTGGACTTTGATGGTTGTGTGTACAACTGCAGTCCCACACTCAGCTGCTCTGCTCTGTAGCCGACTTCCCGCCCTGCTTTACGCACGACAGCCAGAGCAGAGTTATTCTTCCTGTGTCTCGTTGCAGTTTCTCTGTGTCGGCTCAAATACGGGTGATTTAGGCTGTACGCTTCCTAGCGGTGAAACGAAGCTTTGTTAATGGTAGGCTGAGCTTTAAATGTCTCCAGAGAAAGGCAAAGCATTAATGAAGTTTGACTTGCAAGCTGCAATACTTTGTTCTGTGTCTGAATCACAGCAATGCAGCGAGTGTTAGGAGCTGTTAGTGTCTCAGGATTTCCAGCTCGGAAGGTTTTTGGCACCTCATCTACAGCTTCTTCCTGGTGCACCACGTCTCAGTCTGTTGTTCATCAGTAACTGCGCTGCATCATCTCCCTATTTTCTGTCCCTCTGGTCAAAGTTAGTGACTATTTGAGTAAAACCTGTTCCAGGAGCAGGCACTGGTTCATTCTTTTTTTTTTTTTTTTTTAATGGAGCAGAGGAACAGGGTTTCTAAGGCAGGAAGCCCTGTATTCCTGACCCTCAGAGGAGTGGGGTTTAATATTATATTAGCACGGAGAATAAAGTTTCCTCTGGTGCCTCTGCATATCTACTTTTCAAATCAGCATTTGCAGGGGACCTGATTTCTTAGTTTGGGTCCAGCTGCTATATAAACCCTGGGAGATGTTCCTTGCTTTGAAATCCCACAGCGTTGAGCAGCCGAGTGAGCAGGGACAAGAGGGACCCAGTCCCTTCCCTGTGGTCGCAGCACAGAACCCAGCCAGCAAACTCCTCTGCGTCCTCACATCCAGCTGGGCAGAGCCACGGAGCAAAGCCGCGGACTGGGAACACCGGACCCACAACAGCCTGTGGAGGTGGAAACAGGACAGGTGAGGGTGAAGGAGACAGAGGAGCTGCTGTGGCAGCTGCAACAGAGAAATGAGACTGATAAGAAATGGGGGAGTGAGCACAGCGGGGTGATGTGTGGGACCTGGCATGGGTGACCGCCCCCTCTCCAGAGCTGACACTCACATTCACCCGAGATTGGGTCAATCTGGGGCTTTTCTGGGTTTCTCAGTGCTTCAGCAGGAGTGCTGCTTAGCTCAGCAGGGCACCCCCCTGCACCTCTGCAGCCTCTCGGCACAGGCAGACACGGCCACTGATGGCTTCTGCATCCACTGGTGCCCATGGGTCTCGTCTGTGGGCCTGGCTGCATTTCTGGTCCATCCAAAAGGGGTTGGGGGTCCTCTTCCCCCCTTCATGGGATGCTCCAACCCACTCCCATCTGGGACCTCCTCTCCTGGCCCAGACTGTTTTGTTCAGCCTTAAAGGATGGGAAGGATTTCAAATATCCTAATGGTACCAGCGAGGGAAGTATCAGAAATACCTCCCAGATCAGAAAAAAAAAACCAAACCACAACACTTTCAAAGCTCAGTTCCATCAAAAATACTCCAGAAAACCACATCCAGGAAGGAACTCCAAGTTCCTTTCTGACAATCTTTACATTCAGACATTTTATCAGTTAAAAATCTCCTCCTATTCTAAAATCCAGCAGTTCATATCCACATATGTGTGGAACAACAGAAATTCTTTGTTGTCGGGACATTTGGAAAGTAAGCTTAAGAAGACAAGAGGATTGGTTTGCTACTTTCTGCCTCTTTTGATTTGTTGTGTTCTCAACAGATTTAGGCCCTTTCTGGCAGGTGTTTCTGCCTCAGACCCATCGCGCTGGGTCAGTGGCCCATCTATTGCACCCTCTTTGTTAAGGCAATCTGCTGTGCTGCTGGCAGTCACCTGCAGAACATGGCCATATCCTGGATTTTCCTGAAGAACTAGGAAAAACAGGCTGGTTGCAACCACCATACAGAAACCACCGTCCCTGGGAAAGGAGAGGCAGAGGATGGCGTCTGCATGGGAGATGGTGAACGCAGCTGCTCTGTGAAACAAACTTTAATTTAAATATAGATGAGTTTGGCCGCCACACTGAGTAGGGCCAGAAGTTCTCCCTGCACCAGAAGCGGTGGTGAAAAATTAATTTTGGTCCTAAAACTGAATATATCCAAAGAGAAAAAGACTGTCTGTATGTAATAGCGTGTGCGTGGTAATCCTCTGACACAGAGGGAAGCTCCTGCCTCCCCACGCCAGATGAGTTACCAGTGTTCAGCTAATCCCACGTAAAGCCTCTGGGTGTAGTGGTGTCTCTCCCTCCATCGGCATCGGCCGGTGGATGGACCTACCTGGACTTCAGGGAGGTGCTGGGGCAAGAAATCCCAGCTAAACCCAACACAGCTCGGCTTGCCCAAGGAGCCAGAAATGGGAATTTCCTTCTTTGACCCATCTGGCAGAACACACCTGTGCACAGATGTTGGGGATATTTGATGATGGTACAAAACATCCCGGGGATTCCTGGGGGCACTGAGGATCAGGGTGTCACCTGTGACACTGACGTGTCTGGAGCATCTCAAACATCTCCACAGCTCTGCTGTCCCAAAGGGAAGCAGGGACTCTTGTCACGCCGAAGGACCATCAGTGAAAAGCGAAGGAGCTTGTCTCGTTCTTGGCCTGAGGGACGTGAAGTTGTGCCTTTTATTTGAATTAAACCCAGCCTGGTGCTGGGATAAAAGCTAAAAGGAAAAAACAAAACCAAAACAAACAAACAAAAAAAGTGACAGTGGAAGCAACTGAATGAAGAGCACGGCCCTTGTGTCTCTCCACGTGAGCAGGCAGAAGGAGAAGGCAGTGGAAGAGTTTTTCTTGCCTGGGAGCAGGTGAGGCTGAGGCTGGCCCCGGGTTCAGCACCGGGAGGCTCACGGGGGCCCCGGGGGAGCTGCTGCCGGGTCCTGTCCGTGCGTTGGCCCACGGGACCAAGGCAGCTCGGGGCCAGCCCAGGCCCGGCCGGGGGACACGGGGCAGCGGTGCTGCCCCTCCTGCAGCCCCGGTGTCCCCCGTGGGGCTGGGGCCAGCGTCAGCTGCGGGGCAGGACCCTGCTGTCACCCGCGGGGTGGGAGCCCGCGGCACCTGCGGGACGTAGGCCCAGTGTCACGGGTGGGGTGCGGGCCCATTGTGGCCCGCGGGACAGGGGCCCACTGTGGCCCGCGGGACAGGAGCCCTTGTCACCCGCGGGACAGGAGCCCGGGGTCACCCGCGCGGCGGACCGGGGTCACCCGCGCCAGCCCCGTGTCA